TAAGAAATAATTTTTAATAATAATATAATTGTAATAATGTATTCTTCTAATATGTATATGCAATAATGTAAACTACAACAAATGTTGACTATGTACCAATGCCAATTCTTTGCAGTAACTTTGAATAGGACGGTCGGGACGTATATGCAGTAAAATAAGTTTGTTTGAAGCTCAGAAGTTTGTACAAGACTAGTCACCTATGCTTATCCTTAATGCTTCATTTCTCAGCCGAGAGAAAGAGAGAGAACTTGAACCCAAAAATCTCACAGATTTTGTGGATTTTCTTGGGGAGGAAGTAAGTACAAAAGTAGCTTTATTCATATTTATACATTACATTTGTATAGAATTGTGGGCTATTTGTCTCTAGTTGTTGTGTGGTCAAGAGACCTGGAAAGATCAGGTACACACTGGATTGTTCATGGTTGTAAAACATATATTTTTTCTATCTTTACAAGCAAATAGTTAACTTTTTATCGTTATATAGTCTTTATCTCACAAAGGGTTTCATAGTTGCTAATAAAATATACAATACTAATGTTATTTTTACATAAGTACCCTTTTAAAATAAACTAACATTATATCCAGCTACCCGTTTGCCCAGTAGTAAATGACTGTATGCTATACAACAAGTTTTCTAGATTTAGTGAGGATAAGTATTTAGGTCTATGTTCATCATGAATGATAAAGTTTTTCAGAGTGCGTAATGAATGAAACGGTTTTCTTGAGTTTTTTCTTCAAATAATCTTTTGACTTACTAAGAAGTCTGTCTTGAAAACATAGAAATATTTGCCTAGTTATACGGAAATGTTGTGTTTGTAAATCTGAGAATTCTGTATACTTTTGTTATTGTTGAGTTTTGTATATTCTGTAGTTTATTTATTTGTGTTTTAGCTACATTTAACTATTTAGAGCAGGCATAATCTGCCACTGGACGTATATAGGTTTTATATATTTTTAGTATGTTTTCAATTGTTGTGCCCCTGTTGTTGTAATATTTTATTTGTGATTTCATATATGCATTTGGTCTTCCTTAGTTTTGAATCACAGATTAGACCCAGAAACTTGGCTGATGTGACTACATGGCGCACGGTTCTGTTTGAGGTTTAATTTTGGGGTCTGTCTACTCTTTTAAATTGATTTTGTAAATAATCTTACTTTCGTTTCTAGAGAAATTATCTTGCTTCTCCAAGTTTTACAGTAGTTTCTACTTCGTTTAGTTGCGGTTTTAGATTTGTCGCGGTAATGGTTAGAGTGTAGGAACTTCTCCATATTTCGACGTCATCAGCAAACTGGGAACAGAAGCAGGAATTTGGATCTAAGAGAAACATTTCACTCACATACATGATGAATAGAATAGGACTAACTCTTCTTCCTTGCGAGACACCTGCTACTAGAGTAAAAGATTCAGAGAAGGTGCCCAATACATTTATCCTAGCTTTTCTGTTACGTAGGAAATTAGAGAGCAGCCGAATAATACCATTTAGGAACTATTTGGAATGGATGCTGCAGCATGTGGTGTAAGTACGATGGATTGCCAATTCCAGATATTAAAGCTGTGTCACTTTTTTATATATTCAACAAAATGTTGAATATTAATGTTCTGTTTATTTGTTTTCTTATTCAGGTGTACCTATGTATTTCACCTGCCAGTAATAAGTAAAATCAAAGCTTTAAAGTAATTACATTCTAGGAAACGGAACTTTATAAACGTTGGTAAAGAAACTTGCATCATGTTCAATAAAATGTGTGCTTTATGCTTACAACCTCTTCAAAGTCTCGGTCAATTGTGTTTGATACTCTAAGTGGAGATAACTTTAATCTTCTATACGATAAACACTGAAGATAAGGCTCATAAGACACCCAGTGTTGTACAGAATGTTCTGAAAAGTTACCACAGACAAGTGCACATTTTACAGTTTGTATTGGAAGTATCAAAACTGAAACCGACTATGCACATGCAGCTGAAATAGTGGATATCTGCGAGATGAAAAATGATCTATAGTATTTTCAAAAGCTGCAAAACGAAAAAAAGAACCAGATTTTAGATTTTCAAAAGCTGAAAACAAATTGGTTCCTTGATGATCTTCTCTTATTCATAATGTGAAGAAAAAAACAAAAACAGAATACGTTCAGTATTAAAAAAAACAATAAAGAAAAAACAAACAGATTCATTGTTCATTTTACGGTTATTGAATAATAAAAAACGAACAACTGAAAAATGTGATTTTCGTTATCTAAAAAACGAACAACAAACAACGAATTGGGATCTAACTTAAGCATCCTGTTATGTTATTACTTATTTTTTTAGATTTTTCCAATAAAGAAAATGCTTTGTTAATAAGATAAGACTGAATACTCGAATTTTATAGGAGATTCACGTAGCTTAGAAATACGATAAATAAAGCTAGGGATTTGTTGTAGCGTCAAATTCTTTCGCAGTTTTAATGCTACTGTTAGTAATGACATTGATTTTTCTTAACTAACTAGAAAAGTATTCGTTAATAACAACTTAGATATAAGAATTGTTTACAAACATATCCAAAATTACAACCTGGTTTATCGTTATATACTCTTACAAATTCATTCTGCAACTATTTGATTTTAGTTTTAAACTAAAGTTAAGGGTGAATGTGTTTGAAACGTTCGTAAAGCAACATAGTGGTTTAGGCTATGTTAAAATGTTGCTGAAACAACTTGCAATTCCATTAAATAAAATCCTTAAGATGTTGTTTGATAGAATTAAAGAGAATGTTGATAATAAGCATCATTTCTGGATTGTAAATAATAATTAAAATATTTTATACAACCTATTACCTAGCAAGTTTAAATTATATGGGTAAAACCAGAAACAACGTTTTTTTTGTAAACAACCTTATTGTCGGAGTAAGAATAGTCTCTTTTTTAGAGACGAAGACGTCAGCAGAGGTTCTGAAATAATCAACAGGCAATTTTTATATTAGACCATCTTATTTCATTGCTTCTGAGCCTGTCGAGTAATTCTATGACAGAACATACATCTATCGCTGAAAAAAGGAGTAAAACACAAAGTAATTTTTAAATCACTATACAGTTCGTACATCTGAAATGTTATACGTAATTGTCTCACTGTTAAGGACAGAAATATATATATTATCTCATAAATAGCTGTTTCAAAACTTTATATTGTTCCTATGTTAAGTTGGTACTCTTAAAAAAAACAGAATATAACCAACAACATCCGCGTAGAAAAAAAATAGAACTTACAGAGATATAAAGTTTGATTTAAGTTCTTAATTTTTTAATTATTAATCATTCATACCAGTATTTTTATTGATTTACTTCACATCTTCAAGTAATATCCACAGGTAAAGACACTGTAGTATAATCAAATCCCCAGTTTACATATTGAGGTTTAGTGAGGTGCCACAGTTTCAGGTTTGAAATATACATTTTTACTCGTTATAATATATTTATATTTTTCTTTAGGATTAATAGAATGACCATTAAACTGGTTCTTATTATCATTTCACTATTTCTTCCCTGATAAGCATATGCATATTTGTAATTTGCTATCAGATGAAACCTACTCTATAGGCCTAAATGACATAAAAGATTCTGGTTAAAGCCTTTAAATCAAGTCATTTGGAACTCACTGTACTGTATGTTGACTTTTAGTGTCAAACGTAAATTTCCCACTTTTTGTTTACATAATCGTGAGTCAGCAGAAAATTAATAAGTTTTTTTTAAAATCATATTTTTCTCGGAGAAGGAGTGTAAATAAGAAAATGTATAATAACAAATATGGCGTATTTATCTGAGATTGAGACCTTGTTCTTTGTATTGGTTAACAACAATGATAACGAAAGAGTTCATCTCGCTAATATCTAAACTCATTAGATGACCTTCTTCGTCCAGCATGCTATGTGTTATAACACGTTCTACTGTCTCTAAATCATAGAGTGGTACTTACATTGTTGTCAGTCAAATGAAAATAAAGGAACTATTTATTTTGCAGATCTATCGATAATTTTTACAACCCGGAAAACTCTATCAGATGGAAAAAAAGTAATTTTACTTAATGAAATTGATAACATCACAGTAAAACTGAAGAGAGAATTAGTAAGTCACATTGTTTGTATGTATGTATAAAAATATATGTTTGTTCAAGTTTTGTCTCAGATAGTCATCTCACCATTTCAAAAAGCTAAAAAATAAAAATAAATATCTTGTTATCATTCAACCAACAATAAACTTCTCTACAATTTAAGTAATGAAAATAAACGTCACCAGTGTTGATAAAATAAAGGTCAGTATTGAAGATAGCTGATTGTGTCTCTGTTAATATTAAGATGTCGAGTTTTAAAATTTAAAATCTCAACATTGCCACCTACCGACAGTGATTAGACACTTCATGATGAGTTTAAAGTTTTCTCTTGGACAGCAACCTAAATGAAGAGATAACCGTAAGTTTGCATTTTATACAAATTGTTTAAATTTCTTTGACAACAAATTGATAAAAATAAGTAAATTTTTAGTTTCTTTCCAATTAATTTATCAGTATATTTAGAATGAAACTGTTAAGGTTAAATAAAAAAAAATATTAATAGCAGAAGCAGAATTCATTATTCGAAATAGTCAGTTTCTTGTAAACTAATCAACTTTATGCTTTAACTGGATGTATTAGTTTATTTTAGTATCAAAAACGAACTGTTGACAATGAAGAGAAACAGTTTTACCTAATTATAAAAACAGAACTAGGAACTTGATCCACACTCGAGTGAAACTAAGGAATTGTGGACGAGATCGCAGCTTTTATACTGGACAGTGGCTAGGCTTAATGACCTTCCTGCTAGCTGAGATATACACGTCCTTCTAGTTAAGTGTGTCATGGTCACCAGGCAATGAGAGTTTGAATAGACGTGGTCAGTTAAATAGATCACCTTGAACGTGCATTCGAGTTCTTGATATGGTATCTCCAGTGAATAAAATAACCATAGTTTTGTATGGTGCGATACAATATACTAGTTTTTCTTGAGAGAATTAGCTTTAGCTAAGTCTGCTTCTGTTAAGAAGAAAGCCTTTTCATCTCCGATTCTGTCGTTAAGATAATAGAAATCAGGGGTGTATACACAGGGCACGGCTTCTTCGGGAAAAGCACAGGTGAAGGTCAATTGGTTGAAGACGGTCTGGTTACCACAGAAGAAGCTCCAGTGTCCAACCTGCAAAGTGTCATCAGGGAGAATCTGTGGATGGCAGATGTGGAAAATCTCACAGCGGTTATCAACATCACCGTAATAACCAGAGTGACGACCCTCGCAGGAAAAAGTGGTTTTCATTGGTCCGATAATTAATTCGGCTCCATCAGGAAGTTCGTAGGCTGAGCGTTTAGCCTGTAACAGAACGCAGTTCATTTAACAGGTTTGTTTCTTCCAGTAACTTTAGTTAATTATAGATAACTATGTAATGGTAAAGTTATTCTCAAACCAAAAATTGCTTCTTATTTAACTTTCTATGTATAATAAGAAATAAACACAGAAATATTTATACACCTCTCTGGTTTATGATTCAGTACATATATAAACTACAATTGATCTTTCATCTTTTTCACCATTTGAACTTCAAAAATCAGTTACTTACCCTGGATAAGGCAGCAGCAGCTGTAATGCACAGGATAATTTTTATTATCCATTCAAAAGTATATATACAAAACCACAAGTCTAATTATAACTCCAGACGTTATAATATGATTTTATAGGATCACCTGGCGGTCTTATAATTTTTACTTTTGAGCCTTACTTACTTAGTTGGTTGTTTAGCAAGGAAGACGAGATACTTCCTACTATTCAAAATCAACTTGTTTGAATAATTATATTTTTTTTACTTTAACCTTTATTTTCGCTGAGACATGTTAGCGCATTATTTGTCAAGAACGAATCAAAAGCTTGAATATATAAACTTTTTTGGGGTCCGGTATTTGCTATAAAACTTTCATTTCTTTAAATGTAGAAAATGTGTTCACTTAAAACAGTCATTTAATAAAAGCTACAAATATTTTAATTATTTATAAAGTTGATTACTTTGATAAATTTGCACCCACAAATGGAAACACTTTTAATGGATTGAGCTCTTAATATACTTTAGTCTCGGTTCTCACTAATTTAACAAGATGTTATTTCATAAATAATTAACAATTTTTAAACGTTCAATAGTTTGGAATGACCTCGTGGTAACAAATATAATAGTAAGGTCTACAACACTGCGTAACTTGCACATGGAAATTCATATTCAGAAATATAAGAAACACAGGAAGTTACAATTTAAAATCAAAAATCGTATGCAAATCAGAACTTATTGCACTGAATAATACGTGTACATATACATATATATATACAGTTTGAACGAAATCAAAGTATTAAAATAAATCTTAGATCATTGGCAAGGAAAACCTGATCACCCATGTCTTTTTTACAGTTTGATAAGCTTGCAGAAAGAGGCTAAATCTGGCAGACATTATATCCTTACAACTTTGTAGTACTACCATTCTGTAGATACCTCAAACCAAGATATAGTTTACAGTTTTCCACATTGTAAGCTATATATTGTTGTTGTTGTTGCTGCGTCGATTTTTGTTTCGTGTCTCCTGGAGACGCGGAAAAGAAGAGAAAAATGGAGATTTTCGCTGAGTCATCTTTGGAAGTTTTCTTTAGGCGGGACCCGTGCGTCGGTTGACCACGTGGCTAAGGAATTCATGACGTCAGGCGTTGGAAAACTGAGCAGTGTAGAGCAGAGCATGGAGCTGCAGATCGAGTGCGTCCGTTTTTGTTGAAAATAAGGTGATTTAAGAATTATTGGTCACCTTTAAAGAATTAGAACTTTAATATTACATTTAGCATGAGACGGTCCTTTTCAGGGCTGGGATCGAGGGATCCAAACCATAAGGAAAATTTTGTTGTGGGGGGGGGAGTACCCCACTTTCACTGGTAGAGCGCCAAATGTTCTACCCTACCAGTGCCCGAGGCTATAAAGAAAATCAGGCAAGTAAGGTTAAACATTATCATTCAAGGCTTGTATTATACTGAAGGGTGAGAGGTATCTTTGCCATGTGGCGGGAGTCGCAGCTGGTGATGAAAATTGATTTATTAGCAAGGTTCGGTTTATTGACTTCTTGAAGTACTTATCTGCCAGGGTTGTCAGACGTTCGATGGCGTCGGGTATGTCGCCTACTTTTTCTAGGTATTAGAGTGGTGTGTATATATGCTATCCTGATTGCTAGATTTTGAGCTCTTTGTATAAATTGTACTGAGTTTGAGATGCGTTTATTGTTACCATGTTCTAATATGGGGCGAATGTATGCTTTATAGATTTTCATTACTGTTTTCATCCTTTGACTATGTCTCCTATCTTTCATAAATAATGAATACTGTTACGACAGCGAAAGTCGCGCGACGCTGTGAGCATGCGCTGGAGTTTTAAAAAGATCGAGGAACCTGTCGAACGTCCTAGTGTTTGCTAGATACGCGCTCTTATAGTATATAAGCCGGCAAATAAAGTGACGGTATAGATAATTGCAGACAGGCAGAGATGGAGACGGACAATTGAGTCAAGCGCGGTAGTGTTGTTGTGAATTATAGCGTGTGTTTGAGTTAAAGTTACTGTGAAAATTAAGTGTATTGCAAAGTTGTATTGAGAAAAAATAAACTAGTTTTATTTAAGAAACGACTTGGGTCGCTAAAGTTTCATCCGAAAGAAATTATACGGGAAATTAACAAACGATCAGAGACGTAACAATACGTTTGTAGACTTTAGTTAACACTGTTTAGAAGTGGTCCGACCAGGTTAATTTATTATTGTATGTGACACCTAGACATTTTGCAGTTCTGGAGAATTTGAGTTCTGTATCATACATTTTTATTTTCATTTTTGGGAGAGATTTACTTTTACGAGATATCTTTTTTTACATCACAGTGCTTGGGTTTTAGAGGCGTTCAGCCCTACTCTCCATATGTTACACCAGTTTGTTATGTGGTTAAGGGAAGTTTGAACTTTGGAGGCTGCTATCAGGTGTTCTCGATAGGTGCTCCAAACGGCGATGTCGTCTGCATACTGCGAGGCGTGTATGTGTATGACAGTTTAGAGAGCGGTATGTCGTTGACAAACAGGATGTACAGCAACGGACCCTACCCTCGAGAGACACCAGCTGCTGATGTAACTGAATTGGATGTGGAATTGTTAATTTTTACTCTGGCTATTCTGTTAGCCAAGAAGCTTGAAATACATCTTGTTATTACTGGGGGGAACTTAAATTGTAGTAATTTATATTTTAGGCCTTGATGCCATACTGAATCAAAAGCTTGCTATACATCTAGGAAAAGTACTGTCGTCGTGTGATTTTTGTTGAAACCCTGAATAATTGATTCGGTTAACCTGACTAAGTGATCGGCTGTCTGTCTGTTTTTGCGGGATGCGTTTTGAATTTCGGATATTAACTTGTTTTTCTCCAGATACCATAGTAGACGTGTTACTATTTTCTCGAGTAACGTTCCTATACTGTTGATAAGGCTGATTGGTCTGTAATTCTTGGGATCTTTTGTTGCGGGACAGGTTTTAAGTAAAATTTTGATTATTGCTGACTTCCATGATATCCTGAACTAAGGGACAGGTTGAACAGGGCTGTTAGGTGTTATATTAATAGGTCTGAGGCGTTTCTTAGGATTATGTTGCGGATCCCTTCCTCGCCGGGTGCGATGTTTTTGAGTGTTATGATTGCTATTTTAACTTTTGTCAGTGTGATCGGTTTAGTGATGATGTCAGTATTTTCCAGGTATTTATGAGCGTTGATTTCTGTTGAACTCACTTTCCTAACATCATAGGAGATATTAATACTAACGGACAGTTACCACTCAACAGTCTTCTTTGCACGATGGATGTTTCTTCCATTTACACCAATATTCCACATGATGAAGGACTACAAACTCTAAAGTCCGCATTAAATCTTTCTAACCAATCAGAATATCAAACAGTAACTGATCTTGCCAGCTTGGTTTTAACTCTGAACAACTTCGAATTCAATAAGAGCATTGAATTCAGGTTAACGGTACTGCAATGGGTATCGAAATGGATCCCAATTATGCCAACATTTTTATGGGTCATATTGAAAACCAGCTTTTACAACTAAGCCCTGTAAAAAACCTCATGCATGGAAACGTTACATAGATGACATATTTTTCATGTTGACAGCCAGTCTTGAATCATTTAAAGAATATATCTCACAATCAAGTTTTTCTGTGATTATTCGCCTACCCAGCTTAACATTCTTGACGTCGCCGTTTTTCTAAAAAACGAAATTTTACACACTGACCTGTACAAAAACCTATAGACAGATCACAATGCCGTCACTATAAAAGCTGTCACCCCTCCCACACTAAACGAAACATTACCCACAGTCAAGCTCTTAGAATAAAGAAAATATGTTTAGATGAAACAGACTAAAGAAAACACACCAAGGATGTAAAACAAACCATGCTACAAAGAGGATATAAAGATACCGAAATTGACAGACAAATTGAAAAGGCTAACAAGATTCAGCGGAAAAACATCCTAAATCAGAGCAATACTAAACATTCAAATATAATTCCTTTTATTATTACCTATCAGATTAAACTTAGAAACGTTTCAAAAATTCTGAAAAAAAAAAAACATTTTCATCTCCAACAGCTCAACGACCGTCTTAAACAGATACTTCCTGCATTTCCAGTTGTCTCCTTCCGAAAAAACAGAACTCTAAAAGATATCCTTGTTCACACAAAAATGAATTACATCCCACCCAAAAATGGTTCTCTTCCGTGTAATAAAGCCTGTTGTCAAATATGCAAGTTCATAAAAACCACTGACTCATTTTCTGACAAGCATAATCAAAGAAACTTTAAAATATCAAAAGAAATCACTTGTGAAACAAAAATTACCATTTACCTTACACGGTGTAAAAAATGCAATCACCAATATATAGGACATACCATAAATCTTCTATTAACACCGAACTGTTGCTCAACACTTTACCCATCCCAGTCATTCCATTTAAATAGCCCCCCCCCCCCAGTGGCAAAGCGGTATGTTTGCGGACTTACAACGCTAGAATCCGGGTTTTGGTACCTGTGGTGGGCAGAACACAGATCCCATTGTGTAGCTTTGTGCTTAACTTCAAACAAACCATTTAAATAAGGATGTTACTCTCATCGGCATTGAAACAGGATTCAAAACTAAAGTAGATGGAGAAATATATGAAGCTCATCGGACTGCTAATCTACACACTGTTCAACCTTTCGAAATTAATCTAGATCCTGGAAGCAGTGATCTCCATTCATTGGTTTCATCTCTGTCAGAAAAATAATTTCTATTATTTGCTTTTTTTTCA